TCTGCTCTCACCCCTCGCTCCTCATCTCTCCCCATCTCTCTCTCTCTCTCTATCTCTATCTCTATCTCTTTGTTTTTCATCTTTCCTAAGGAAAAAAGACAAAAAAAAGCAGCACCTGCCTTCGTGGATTCCCGCGCACATTCTCTCCTCGCTATTTGCTATGCACCCCATGTTTTAAAGGAGGTGTATTCCCAAGTACTCCCTCTTCCTATGTCCTCTGTCTCAGAATGACACGCACTCCTCATTTGTCATTCTTCTCAGAGCTCGGAGGGTTTGAGCACAGAAGGAGAGCTTGAGGTGAAAATCCAGAACTGCATACATGCTGACAAAGGGGCTTCGGTTCTTACATTTTTTTTAACCAGGCAAATGAGCTCATCGTAACATACAGGCACAAAAAAGAAGGTAAAGACATACATTTACTCATACAGATGCAACACACACACACGCACACACACACACACCGCCTCTGCCTTGGCTAGTCATCTCTGTCTAATTAGGAGGCAATAATCCGTTAGAGAAGAGTCATCAAATTCAGCCAAAAACAAACACTCCATGAGCAGAAATGCATGCGTGCGTTTCCTCCACACCCACATACACACACACAAACACGCACATGCATGCAGATCCGCACGTGCACGAGTTAGCCCACCGTCACGCAAATGTCACCCTTACATAAGCGCCATTAGGAAGAATACCATTAGCAAGGACGGAGCAAATGGGTCTTTGTTTTGCCTTTGTTTTCTGCAGATTTGTTTCAACRGAGCCATTAAACATTCATTGCTTCTGCAGTGACTTGAGGTGGCTTCCCCGCTAAAGTGGCAGCCGATAGCTTAGCAACTTTAGAAGAGGCTTGAGTTAAAAATAGCCCAGTGTTCCCCATGCATAATGAATGGCCAGAGACAGCGCTAACGCTACCTCTTTCCAGGAGCGATCCGCTATGCTCCGTTTAACCATCCTGGCCTCCCGGCNGTTCTGACGGAAGCGTTCCCAGACAGGTGCTCCGAGCCTGACAGTATTCCCACATAAACATTTGCAGACCAATTCCCTGCCAATCCCCAGCAACAATGTCTCCTTCCGATTTACCTGACATGCTTCACTGGGAACACGAGCCACGTCTATCCACCTGTTAGCTTAGGTAATGGTGGGCTACGTTAGAAGAACACACACTCTGAAAACACACACGCACAAACAGACACACAGATATACAAACAGCATGCAGCTTCCTGAGGATTATTTCGCCATGGTCAGTTTCTGCCTGGCCTGCTAAGGCTCATTTCCTGCCCAGCATCCCGCTCTCTACATGACAACTGCAAACACACACATTTAGACAGGCGTGCACTTTCACAGCACATGCAGAAGCTGCCGGTGTTTGTAGGTGGGCTAGTCTCTCTCTCCTCCCTCCTTTACCCCCCCCCAGCTCACAGCCATTCCTGTGCCTTTTTACATGCCATGGTGTGTTTATGCAGTGCCAGGCTGCCACTCTAAACACATTTAAGTTGATTTTAATGGATGCCCAAAGCCAAGGACTCTCTCTGCACCCATTAGATGTGCAGTACTGTCTGGGAAACATAGCAATTTGCAATTTTATCTCGGTGTCTTTCCCTCCTTCCATCCAAGCCGCTTTCTTTCACCCTCTAAGCTTTCATCAGTTTACCCTTTTTTTCTTCTTCTTCTCTGCTTCTTTGACGTCTTCCTTCTTCCTTTCAGTCGCTTTCTCCATCTATTTTTACTGGGGTGCTTTTGGATGCTCTCATCTATCCCTCTCTCCTGTTTTTGACTTTTTTTCCATTATAGATGTCTCATTAAACACCCTCAAAAGTCAAAGTTTGACTTTCTCAATCTCTGCTCCCATTTGTCTAGTCGTGGCTCCTTTTCCCTGCTTTTCTGTACGTTTTTTTTCCTCCTCTCGCACTYCGTCTGCGCGTACACGTTTAGGCAGGGACTGAAAGGAGCCCCTGGAACAGAAAAGTGTGGGCGTATGCGAACAGGAATGAGAGGAAGAGAGACCGGGTCCGCAAGCCTCACTCTCCCTTCTTTGCCAGCTTCTGCCATTAGGGTGTCAGTGGCAGAGTGAATTTATTTGCTGTGCGGTTACTGGGCTAATGATTGATGTTGCCCCAGCAAACAGTAAACCAATTAGAAGGCTGATGTAACGTCATTTTAAAAGCCTCCTAATCACGTTGCTCTTGAACCTGGGACCCGGGCCTTCCCTAATGAAGATTTATACTGGATCAAAGGAGAGCCTAACGCCATTAACAATAGATTGTATTCCACCAAAAATCACATTAGGACTTCTCTGCCCACCCCTCTCCCTCCCATCAGGTCGCTGCTAAATATATCTGCTGATTACAAGTGCAGATGCGCCGAGGAGCGGGGAAACAGGAGGGAGAGCGGGAATGGGAGGAAGAAGAGAGCTGAAAGTTGGCCCGCAACTGTTGAGGAGAAACACGTAGACTGATGAACAAACTCATCACCACGGATGTTTGTGTGTGTGTGTGTGTGTGTGTGTGTGTGTGTGTGTGTGTGTGTGTGTGTGTGNTTAAAATTAAAATCTCACTGAACTAAAATGTGAAAAAATGGTTTTAAACTTGACACAATAATAAAAGTTTAGAAGGATAAATAAAAATTAATCTGACCTAACTGAGTAAAAATGGTACCTTGTTGTTATAAATGGTATAAATGTTAGTTAAATATAACCTGTATTTCAATATTTCAACAGGTTTTATGTCAGCTAAAGTATATATTATTGTATAAAGTCGTACTTGTGCTGCAGACACTCGGGGATAATTAGAGCATGTTAGTTTGGGAGCTGCTGAGGTGGCTCGATGGGCTCGATGGGCTCGATGTGCCGGAGCTGTCAGCACTTTGTGACTTCACCATATTTTGTGGAGACAGAAGCAGAGATAGAGTTGAAAACAAAATGAGTCTCCCTGCGTTCACTGCTCCAAACTTTATTGAAAGACTATTAGAATGTAAGGAGCTTACTGAGGCAGCAGCTTCATGAAGTTAGACTCTTTATTTGACTTTTATTGTGGGAATGCTGAGTCAGCGTTCACCAGGTTGTTTTCCTCTTCGTAGTCTCTTCTGTGTGTTTTTATACATTTAATTGTTCATAAATCAAAACATTCAGGAAATAATAGCTTGAATGTGACCTGCAGGCAGGATTCATATAATAAAACTCTTATTTTGTCATGTTTTCACATGTAACATCAGGATTTCTGTCTGGTCCTGTGTCCTGTGCCTGTAGTGTTGGAGGTGTTTGTGGTCCTGATGTTAGCTCACACACCTGATGAGCTCAGCTCATTACTGATGAAACTCACCTGTGTGGTGACGAGCAGGTGACGTTGTTTTAAACCGGAGGGACTCRCTGGACCTGCTCCTTCAGAAGCCTCAGCCTGTCAGGACGACCACAGATAAAGCTGTTAACTCTGGAGAAGTTCARTCATTAAAGCATGAAGGTGTGTTCTGGCTTCACTGCAGCTTCCTGAAGGTTACAGCTAATTGGAGCTATTAATCAACACACTGCAGCCACTGGTGACAGGTACATGTTCCTTCTGCTTTTCATCAGCAGGATGTGTGAGGAGGACACACTGGGCCTGCTTACTACACAGGTTCTTCTGTGGGAACGTTACGAACAGTTCTTATCTAACAGGACGAGGTTCTCATGGTCATGGTCAGGTTCCCGTCCTCTCATCGTAACCATGACGTCACTTTCATTTGGGTTTTTAATGGTTTAAAGTCCGTCTTTCCAGAGAGGCTCAGTGTTATTCAACAGGACCAGCCTGACGACAGGAGGAACTCCTTTTACCTGTGTGTGTGTGTGTGTGTGTGTGTGTGTGTGTGTGTGTGTGTGTGTGTGAGAGTTTGCAAGGAAGAAAAATAGTTGCAAGCAGCTGATATGAGCACACGGGGCCCGAAACAACCAACAAGACAGAGTCTGGCGATGAAAGTAAAAAGCTCGAAGCTGGAGCTAGTTTGTCTTTGCAACACTGATCCTCCTGTTGGCACCAGAAAATTCATCATCCCCTTACCTTTCACTTTCTGCTGGATTATTAATGTCATATGCAAAATAAGTACAAGCGCAGCAGCTCACTGTCGTCTGCATGCGGCAAAGAGCCGATGTTGCCTTTACTTGCATCATTGTTTTTTTTTGGTAATATAGCTTAAAAAGGTGGCAGGGTGACATTTGAAATGTAATCCATTAAAAAGTCAACGACTGTCTGTTTAAATGTTGARCCCCACAAAAGGTCAAGTCAAGTTATAGTATATGTTGTTTTTTTCTCCTCAGCTTATGATTACACCAAATCAAAGTAAGTTTATTTACATTTTAATATAATATCACAAAGTCTTGCTTTAGAAGCATGTGTTCAAACTATTTCCCCACACCAAGTTTGAGCTCAATATCAGTAAAGTTGACTGAAATTTACTCATTCTTTCATTCTCAAAAAGTAGTTGGCTATGGTGGGAAGTTTATATTGGTGTCCAAAATCGATCAGTTGTAGATGTACACCCAATGATTTCTTCATGACACCACATTAAAATGTATTCGGTGGTTCATGGTTAGGGTAGAAATGGGCAGACACTTCTTTGTCCTTTCGGTAGCCGGCGGTAAGACTTATCAGATCAGAACAAGTTTGTTTGGCATTTTATGAACACTTCGGGGAGGCACGGTAGCTCGGTGGTCAGTGCTGCAGTCTTTTAAAACTGCAGGTTTGAGCCCAGGCTGCATCAAAAAGGTGTAAAGCGATTGCCAACTTTTTCAAAGTTTGCTCGCTGTGGCAATCCATGTAGAAGGGAAGAGCCAAAAATAAATATATAAACAAAAAATAATAAATAAATAAATAAATAGACAAAATTAAAATTTTACAAAACACTTTGAGACAGATCAGGAAATGGACACATGATGGAGTAGTGCAGTGACGCAGGAAACAAAAAGAATGCAAACAAAAACACAGGCACGTAAAAGAAACGATGGTGGAAACGGAGGCCTCACTTCTTACCCGTGGAGGAGGGCTGAGCTCGGAGCAAGTACGAATCATCTCGGTGGGGCTCCAGGTGAGAGTGGGTGGAGTTTTTCTCCAGCAGGGGCACCTGGCATTCCCTAATGAGCGGAGACGGGCCGGGGGAGGGGTGGTGGGGGGCCGACGAGGAGGACGGGAGGGATGGTGGGAGCAAGGTGGAGGAGGAGGTCGGAGGGAGTGGGCGACCTGGAGGATGGGAGGGACAGGAAGGACAAAAGAGGGGCAGAGAAGGGATGTTAGACAAAAACAGATGGCTGACAGTGACAGAGGTTTGCTCAAATGAGGCATGAATACCACAGGTGTGTGAAAAATCAGAAGCTCTTAAAAGGTCTGTTCATCTGGTTCCCAACCTATTGTACGCAAAGCCCCCCTTTCCATACCCCCCACCACAACCCCAGCATCCCCTCGCTACTCCCCACCTCTCCCAAATACACATTCAACAGTTATCGCTTTATCAAAATAACAAAAGAATAATGTAATAAGTACAAACTTTTATTTTGAAAAAGAAAAAAAGTATAAGTATTAACTTTTGTAAAGTTCATAGAGAGGAAAGTGATAAAGATGAGCGTTTTTRTTGAAAATCGGACATATTACACWCTGTATGTATTTTACACACATGTCAACCCCTTCAGGTGTTTACTTGTAGGACACTCAAAATTTATAATTTTTGGGAAAGGAGGACCTGGAGAGGTGGGGAACCTATTTGTAGCAGCAGCAGAGCAGATTGGGGGATGGTTATTTAATTTTATTTATTTATTTTTTTACAGCCTACAGTCTCTGAGATGTAAAATAATTTTGAAGCTGAGTATTTGGAAAGAGACTGCCCTATATATCCATATATCTGCAAAGTGGGGGAAAATCTTTGTAATTTACAAACAATTTGTACAACTTGACATGTATGATTTTCTCTCAAAACCCAAAGTTTAGAGAAATCCATTACAGTAAACCTAAATCATATTTTTTCCTGAGCGATTACAAAGTCAGCCTTTCTGATGGAAAGATCTGAAAGAGACAAAAATCTGCAACACTGAGAAAGAGCTGAGCTGCCGGCTGAACCCTCAGAACCATCGAGAGAACCTGTTACTAAACCCGTTAATGTTTTTTTTACAAACATGATAACAGCCAAATGAAGCAAGCTGGATCCAGGCCCAAAATGTTCCTCAAACTGATTAATAAACATCAGGTCTTCTAAAGGCTTTTTCAAGTGACAAACAGACACCAAATCTTTTATTTTTCACTCAGATGCAGTTAAAGACTGATTTGATCACAGTTTTCACAAGTTTTCCACAACTGCTAGTATCGCTGCTCTTCACTCTTTTTTCAGCTCTTCATATAAAAATGTGGGATAACTGCTGCTAAATCAACACAAACAAAAAAAAGTTGTTTCTTGTTGAACGGCAGCTAAAACTAGAGGACAAAACCGAATTTCAAAATACTTTACATATGTACATAAACCTAGACTAAAAGCCTGACAGTTAGCTGCATTTCAAAAGCACAAATTAAATGTTAGAAAAGAGCGCGAGTGCGTCTCGACGCTAACAAATCTAAAATTGAATTTGCTAGCAGAGTTATGAAATACTTCCACAACCAAAATGTCGCACAGACCCACTTTAACACGAATGGTTGGGAGAGGACCTACATCCATTGTTCGATCGTCCTCTACGCGAGTGAAACAAAAGAAAGTTAACCGTCAAGTCTTGAAATAGTCGGAGCCATGGGATGCGTGGACACAATCAGGCTGTCCCGCACACCAGAGGGATACGAAGAGACGGATGGAAAGAATTCACTCCTACTCTCCAAAGGTTTGGAATCAAGGACAAAGACAAATCTAATAAATTCTATTTAGAGACGGCTCAAAAAGTAGAATAATTATGGCTGCCGTATTTGCAGCTCAATCAATCAACAATAAGGGTAAGAATGAGGCCACTGAGTCCGGTTAATCCGCCGAAGGACTCAGGTTATTATGGCTACTAATTAGATGTCAACTAAAGASGCTCAAATGCTTATTGGCTCTTGATTTTACATTGGAAATTATAGCCAGAGGCACCTGTTATGTTTTCTTTATGCATATTTATTAATTGGCTGAGGAGTTYAAGTATCTGGGAGTCATATTTATAAGTGACGGTGGGATAGAAGAGGAGACAAACCAATGAAATGAGACTTTGCAGTATAATGGAGGTGTTGCTCCGGTTTGCCGCAGTGAAGAAGTTCAACTTAAATGTGAATCTCTTAATTTACCCATCGATGGGTCATACTTATGAATCATGTCTAAAAGGACAAGATCAGATAAAACTGCTGAAATGATTGGTTTTCATGAGGTGGTTTAGGCATGTGATTAGGCTCCCTCTGAAAATTTTATGTGCAAGTCCCACTGGGAGGAGACCACAAGGCAGACCCAGAACTTGTTGGATGAATTATCTAGTTTGGGAATGCCCTGGATCCCCCAGGAGGAGCTAAAGAGAGCAGCTGGGGAGAAGGATGTTAGCATTTCCCTCCCGAGCTTGTTACCTCTTTGACTGGACCTTGGAAAAAGCAGAACAAAAGAACAAACACTAACAGATCGATGGACTTTTTGTTTGGGAGCAATGAATTGTTCCTAGGTTTAGCAAACTTATTGCAGTCTTTTATTTACCAGAGCAAACATCACTGGGCGAACAAAGTTGCCAGCTTTTTATTTCTCATTTTTTTCTTTTAGGCTGGAACAAAAAATGATTAGAAACAAACCAAAAAGAAAGGAAGAAAACAATTAAGAAGCTGAAGAAAAGGAAGTGGCAGTTAAACATTTTGCACGAGCCCCATTTTTAAACAGATGCTTCATCAGAATCGGGTACAATTTTAATTTGACAGCATTCACCATGCCATCGCTCAGTATTGGCAGAAGTCAAAAGCTGCAAAAAAGCAATGATAGATGGAGAGGCTTCTTTAGGTGACTGTGCAATTCTGCTCGCAACAGAGAAACAACACATRGTCGAGGGAGGAGTGGGGGAAAATCAATGCAGATATCAGTAAAGGCACAAAACAGTCGGGCGTATCTGTTGGCTAACTCGCCCACTCGTGCTGCATCAAAATGAAACACATAAATCATTAATATATACATGTCTGACTATGGGTGTCTTCGCTGCTTTGTAGAAAGTTATTTGATCGAATCAGAGGCCGACTGATGCCTCTCGTCCCGCTGCCCTAGCTGCTCCACCTTGGAGCTTTGCATCACGGAAACCAGAGCTTGGATCGATCCGTAGCCCCACGTTAACTGCACCCCAGAGAGACAGCAGCCTCGTCTGCTGTTCAGGTATGTGCGCGCGCGCGCGTTCCTCTGTGTGTCCATACGGTCAATCTCATCACAGAGAAAAATGGATAAACAATGGCAAAGCAAACACTGTGGCTGACAGGAGGGAAAAGGAGACGAGAAAGGAGGGATGGCAAGAGACAAATGGGGAGGCGGGAGAGACGTTAAGGTCTCAAGGGTAGCCACAGAGARTAGAGACTAAAAGAGATTTAAGAGGAAAGAAATGAAAAGAGGTATAAAACAACAACCCAAACCTATTTATAAATAAAAATGGGAAAAATACACAATAGATGAGGGTATAATTTGAATAAGAGAAAAAATTAACCCTAAGTATGCATTTTTAATGACAGGGTAAAAAAATGAAATCTTGAGTGACATGCACTGGCCTGTGTCATGCCTTTGACATGCAACTTCAAACAATTTTAGTCATTGTATTGATTGAGGTGGAACCACTGAGATACAAAAAACACATTCAAACCGAATAGTTTTTGATTATGGCACTAATGTATCAGTCAATTCAAAGATCTTGAATAACTAACATGATTTATCACACTTTGGGAGGATTGTGATTTTTTTTTAACCGAACACAAAATAAAACAAACATGACTAAAGCTGGAAACATACTCCCTGCGAACTGCCGACGTCGGCACGGGTTGGCACAGTTTAATGACGAAAATTACGTCACCGGGCTTTGCAACGTCGTGTCGACAGTCCCTTTTGGCACAAGCCCCCGGCAGAACTTTTTGACCCCCATCCCTTGTCGATGGTAATGTGTGATCGGTCTGAACTGAAAGCGCTCGGACGCACACAGCAGAAGAAAAAAACAAAAACTCGCTTCTGACTAGAGCAGACTGTTTTGAGCAGTTTTAAAGATAGACAAACTGAGAAAAACTCATGCGTGTTTGTGCTGACGGCGCTATGCACTGCATTTACTTCAACCACTCGGTTAAAAAAGAAAAAAAAAAAAAAACCCGACTCGCTCCCCGAGCTGACCAGGAAGCAGAGTTTTATAAAGATAGTAAAACCGTGAAAAACTCATGAATGGAGATAAACAGACATAACAGATAAACAGGCACGGAGGAATCTGAAACTGTGGAGCTTTTTAACCAGGACAGATGTGGATAAAAATCCATTGGGTGAGTGACTTTTTTCCTGCATTGCTGTTGAGGGGAGAAATGCCATGCAGTGACGTATGTTTCAGCGGGAGGGAGGGGTTCCCCTGAGCTCGTCGACGCAGTGTGCAGGAACYATGAAAGGTCTGTGMGAAAACGACTGCCGAACAACCACGTGACCGCGCGTCGACCCGTCGGCGTCGGAGCGAGTATGTTTCCACCGTAAGGAGTGTTTTTGGKCTTTTAGTGATGAGCTGAAGGCACAGAGTCACAAAAAAGGCAGTAAAWTTCACGACAAAATGAGCATCACTTCTGTATGCACCACAGAACATTTTTTTCCTTATGAAGTGCTCTACTGATTGTTATAAGCCTGAATACAAGGACTAAATTTAAATCTTTAAGAATTCAGATCAATGCCAAAATGACCTTGCTACCGTTTCCTCATAACTTTTTTGACTTTTGTCATTAATACACTAAACCTGTCCTAACCTGCAGATCTTAAACCTCCTGTAATCCTCAGATGACTTACCTCAATCTGCAGAATTCTTACTTGTATTCTCCTGGATACCTACCTAAATACTTATTTTTATATATTTTACCTAAAACTCTGTTAAGCATTCGATGAACCCATAGCCTGGCAACTTACCCTAATTACCCAACTCTGACTCAGTGACCAGCAGTCACTTTTTACCAGCAAGTATATGCACCCATCTGGATGCTGWATGACATGCCCACATGGCAGACAGGTGTTCGGTATAAAGCTGGCACTGCTGGCATGGTGAGTGGTT